CCAGCAGTTGCTAGGGATCAAGTGTATATGGGACTTTGAAGATGGGGCGAAGGTGTGTCTTGAAGGTCTGGAAACCTAACTGTATATGTGGGATGGCAGCTTTAGTGGAGTAGGGGAATCCAGTAGGGTCTGATATTTATCATTTTACATGGGAAGAAGGGAAGTGTCCAGCTGGAGCTAATATATAGCAGTATAAGTGGGGGATCAGACTAAGGTTTAATAACAAACCATATGTAGGTTGGCTGTGAGAGTTGGAGGGTATCTTATAGGTATTTTATATCTAGTGTTGTATTTGAGGCATTGACTCAGTGACTTAACTGGAATGTCTAATACGTAGGAGTTTATTTGGGGAAGCAGCAGGTGTGTGTCTGACATAGTTTGAAAACTAGCAGTGTATGTGCTGTGACAATGAAGGTACTGTCAGGGTCCAGCCTCAACAAGTTTGTATGTTCCAGAGTAGGGTCATGTGGATTAGACATGTTAGACAGAATAGATAGAGACATAAAAGTAATACAAAGACATAGGTTTGTACCAAGAGGGCAACTCAGTGAATACTAAATAATGAATCAGCCTACGTTTATCTTCTGTATGCTTATATACCCCAATCCAAAAGGGATAAAGAAAGCAAAAGAGTGCTTTAGCATGACACAAAGGACAACCAGAACAGTTACTTGCTTCAATACTTGAATCATCGAGTCACTATTTCCTGAGTTAAGCATTCTGATGTGTAAGCAAATACACCTTAGACCAAGTATCCTGTAGGTAGCCATTCCCTGGGTCAAACCTCCTATTTTAAAATGAAGGAGCAGGAATACACTTGAATTCTCTGACCTTTGGTCAAAGTGGAGCAGATCCACCTTAATGTTGAAAACACCAAGTAACTATACTCTAAGCTAGGATTTCTTGTTTGTGGCCACACCTGTTGTCAACAACTTTGAAAGACCAAAAATAAGCTAGAGGTCTCTGACCTTTAGTCAAGGTTAAACAGGTCTCACATCTATGGATCCCCACAAGGTATAGGGTTTGTCCAGCAGGGCCTGCTCCCTAGCAGAATATGTAGGGTGTTGGTAGCTGATCATTAGGTTGTAATAACAAGAATTTTATTAGGCATGGAAATTTAGGAGGTTCTGGCATAGCCTAAAGCATGACAGTGTATTTATAAATAGAAATTGGGGGCATGTATGCATAGAACATGTTTACCAAGACTTGAAACCTGACACACTCTAGAGGGTTAGGGAGAAGGAATCCAGTTAGGATCTAATTCATAGTAGGATATGTTGGGCTGCAAGGAGGTGTATGTCTACCTTGATCTGATATCTAGAAGCATATATGGCTCACCAGGACATGATTTCTAGAAATTTTATGATCTAGATATTCTTTCTCCAGTTGATACAACACATACTCTGTTAGTTTTCATTCCATGTTGGGCATGACCCATCATGGTATTACATATAAATTTCTAGATATCAAGTCCTGATGGACACCTCTCTAAAGCTGCTGCACAATATGCAACTCTAGGTATCAGACCTTACCAGAAAACCCCACACCTCTATAGCCAGTAGAAATACACTACTAATTATGAAACCCTGTTGGGCGCTCTGTCCCCTAGCAAAGGCCACACATACACACACACACACACACACACACACACACACACACACACACACACA